GTCTGTGTATAAATGTTGCTCACCAAGTTTTCACAAGATATTTACTGACATATTCTCTACTAATTTTATGTATTTGTTTTGATTTTATCATGTAGTTTAGTGGGAATCTGATTACAAAGATAAAAAAGCATATAACTTTAAACAGACATGACTCATTAGTTAAGTGTTTTACTCAATCTATAATTGCAGAATGATGGAACTTAACAAGGTACATATGCTATTGGTAATAACTAAGAATTTTTGATGTATTTAGGTGACATTGAAAGAAACATACAAGACAGCAGTTGAGGAGGAAAAGAAACAGGTTAGTATTAATTTTTAATAATAATAATTAACATCTACAAGTAATGTAACTATAATTTATTGTTTCTAATTGTTCAGTGCCACCAGGATATTAATTGGAAGAACAAAGGATATACAGAGAAAAATTTCCATGACATCATGGAGAGGGCAGTAAGTAGTTTGCTGTGATTAATTATCTGAGTCATGTTGTTCTGTTGAAAGAGTTTTTTGCTAATAATAATAATGATTTGCATTCATTATATTACAGAAGAACTTTGTAGAAAAGATATCTGCAGAGGAGAGAGAAGCCCTGAATGCCATCAAATATGTGTTTTCTGTGATGGATGCTGATCTTGATTCAATGCTACTGACTGCATCAGGAGTCATTGATTTAACTGACCTTGATAGTGATTGTGTCAGTGCCTTAGTTCAATGTATGCCAAGCATAGTGTCCATTCTGAGCAAAACTGATTTCAATTTTAGTATTGAAAATTTTCATGCTGCAGTTTGGGAGATTGTTGATTAATTTACAAAGGGCATCAAAGGCCTGTCATCAATACTTGATCCAGTTAAATTGATGCCTTCACTGATGCCAAATGTGGGCAGTAATTGGGAAAGTCAGGCACAGGTATTGGTGGCACATGATCTGGTTGAGGGACTGTGAGTAGTTTATTATTTTAGTAATAGTCATTATTATTGTTGTTACTAATATTCTATACTATTTTTTGTGTTAAATAATTTTTAGGCAAAAGATCTGGATAATTAATCCCCCCTTCACCAAACAAGAATCAGATTATAGTAAAGAAAGCTATGCAAATATAATGATCAGAAATATCTTGAATCCCATATTTACATACAGACA